AGTTTATGCATCTATAATCTTAGATGCATCAAATCAGAGCCCACCTGATTTTGGAAGCTCAGGGCATCTATGTGAAGTATAATATTATATATATATAGAGAAATATAAAAATCAGTATCATATAAGGCTTCAGTGCAAACCTGTAATAAGACTACTAGGTATAAAAAACTAAGAAACCAAGAAAACAGAAGCCTACTTGGAAATTCTAAGTAAAAAGATAGCACAAACTTTTGATAATGCCATTAACCAATAAAAGTCTATAAAACATCTTTATAAGAACTGTCAGATAAACTAGATGACAAAATATATAGAGAAGCATATAACCAACCAGGTTGCTAGAATTACTAAAAGAAAAGAATACTAAGTATACTATATTGGGCTATTTGGATTAGAAGTTTGGAGAGTCTGTTGTTGGTTCTGAGTTGTGACTAGTAGGAGATAATAAAAAAAAAGTCAGAAAGATGAGTATCAGAGTTTGGGTAAACTTTACAAGAATAATAGTAGTTTAATGAATAACTCTGACTGCAAGTGTTAGTCTTGGTCATAGTATTAAACTAGGTTAGTAGTAAAAGAAAATACAGCTTGCTCTAATAGGTTTGTCTTAAGAATAAAAATAGTTTAAGAATTATAGTCCTATAGTTAAAAGCAAATAGATCTGAGTTTGTAAACTAGTGAAATTAATACTAGGGTCAGATTAGAAGGTTTAAATAGAACATCTAAGCAAGAATATTAGGTACAGCAACTAGTAAAGAACTCTTGGGCAAACTCTTTAAATAAGTAATATAGAAAAGTTATACATGTAGCTAGTTGTATACTCATCTGATAGTTTAATATAGATACATCTATATAAAATATATATTTAATATAAGTATTAATAAAAAGTTAAGACCAAAAAAGTTTTCTTAATACTGAAAAAAAAATGTTTGGCAATCTTATTGTTTAAATAGATATTTCTAATTTATCAAGATATTGTGTATACTGATACTACTTTAGGCTATTCAAAAATTATATTCTAAACAAATAATGCAACAACTTTAAAAAAAGTCATACTATATTATTACTAAAAGCAGATAAAGTTTTTGATATTGAAATATATATGTATGTATGTATTATAATATTACTTATTTTGAATTAATTTCTAAAACATTTTGCAATTTGTTAATTTGATTCAAATTTAATATATTTAATTTAATTATTATTACCTAGACCTAGCTTATATATATGTTCTAATTTTTTATATATTATTATTATATATATTTCTATCAATGATCTTAATTAAATTTAAATGTTTATTATTTAATATATATACAAGTGCAGCTGTAATGTTTTTGATTTTTTTTTTACTTATTTTAAGTTTTTTTTTTATTTGTTAAAATAAACTTTTAAGTAACACATATTAAACTTATTAAATTTTAAATATTAAAAATTAAATATGAGAATTTCACCAAAGTTAAATGCATAGCCTTACCATTAATATTTAAAAAGAAAAAATTTAAATATGATTTTTTTAAATTTAAGTTTGCAAATTTTTTTATATTTTTTATTATTATTTAAGGCTGATGTTATTAGTAGTTACCATTTTTATTTGTGTTTTTGGTCAATGCATTACATGTGACTTGTACAAGATAAGTATGCAACTAGCTATACATGTAACTTTTGGTTACCTATTTAAGTAGTCCACCTAAGGGTTCTATACTAGCTATCATGCCTATAATCTACTAAAAGGGTACCTATTTAAACACTATGATCTTTATACTACATCTAGATGAGTAACACCTGGTTTTCATACAACTAAGTGCCATCTAACTCAACAATTAGCTATTCTCTTTTGTATGTCTATCAAGCTGTTAAACATTTTAGAATACATCACCTGACTGTAAGGTTCCAGAGTACTTTCTTGTTAACTACCTACCCATTCTACAGAACATTAACAAGGCTAGCCCTTGTAAAGTTTACCCAAACTCTAGCACCTACTTTATAGCATATTTCTAGTACTTATAGTATATCTCTGCTTTGACCTCAGACTTCTAATTCAGATAGTCCAGTAGGACTGTAATTTGTCTTTAATATATCAAGCCAACCTGATATCCTTTTTCTCTGGTTTGGTTTCAGTAGCCTAGTTGGTGATACTCCTTACTTGAGGTTCTTGTCTGTTCAGCTCCTTCATATTGATATCTGTTTCCTAGGTCTAGCCTTTACAATAGTACTGTCAAAGATTTGTATTACCTCTCTACTCAGATTTTTTCAAGTGGGTTTTGGTTTCTCAGTTTTACAGATTTACACAGCCACAAGGACTTATCTTAGGTTTGCACCACTTGGTACTAGTTTGTATTCCTCTGTGTAACCAAGGTTACACAGAGGCCCTGTAACCTGCCAGTTATGCTGATGCAACCATAGTTACAGATATTCTATCTCAACTGATTAACAGAATGCTGTCATCATAATACTGTTTATGTATTATATAGGTGATTATTTAAATTTTTGTCATCAGTAGGTTTTGAACTCACAACCTACTACTTGGGGGGTTAACAACTTATCTACTTCACTAAGTTACCACACCTCTTTGGCAAATTTTTTAAACTTAGCTATTACAAAAATATAATAATATTGTAATAAATTCTATATATAAAAATGCATTCTTATCTTTATCTCTTATATATTTTTTTTCTTTTAAAAACTTGTGCTTACTTTGTTTAAGTAATTTTACTTTGTCATGAATCTTAATATGATAGAAGCATTGATTATTAATGAAACATTAAATAATAAGAATTTAACAAACAAAATATATTAAAAAATAATATTTTAACTAACACAAACAATATAAATATATTAAATAAAACTAGTACTATCTTTCCTGAATATGTTTTAGTTATAGTTCTAATAGATTACAATTATTCTATTATTGAAATTCATAAACTTTCTGATTATATCATAGTTAAAGAGTTTTCTGTTAATTAATTCAAAACTGATCTAATAGTAAATATAAATAGTATAAAAGGTGCACAAAAGTGGCTTGTAGATTTTGAAGAAATATCAAAAACCATCATGTTATATACTAAAAGTTATTAAATTCAAGAACAAAAAGTTTTATTTAGACAATTGTAATATTGTATTTATAACAATATTATTAAACAAAAACAAAAGAATTCTGTTTTAAAATATTCTAATTTATTATGTATTAAAAATACTAGATGTAGGGCTACTATTTATCTTTAGTTTGAAAAATAGAATCTTTAGACAGATAATTTACTTAAAATAAATATTAATATATATACAATCATATAATTTATTTTGCCAAAACTTCAAGTTTTAAATATATCAAAGATAAAGTTTATATAAAATATCTAGAACTTTTAAAAATAGTTATTTACTATTTACTGCCTAATTTATATATAAAGATAATCTTTATTTGCAAGCAAATAATAAACAAGAATTTATGCAATAGTTAGTAAATCATTCATAAAATTCTGATCATGATTACATTTCAGATTTGTTTAAACAATTTTGCAAAAACTGTTTAGTGAAAAAAAATAGTATATTTATAATTTAACAACTTAAAGATAAAGTTAATATCTATAATAATTCTGGTAAAAGTTGTACTATTTTGTAAAAATATAACTCAGTTTAAAAAGTTTTTATTCTGTATATTGTTACAAATTTAATAGTTTATATTCATAAAAAAATTAAACAATCAAATAAAATTTGTTATATAGATGCTTCAGCATCTTTTAAACTATTAAACACATTAGTTATTTTGTTCTATATAAGCTGTATTGTAAGAATATTGCCTTTTAGTTTTATTATAACATCAAATGAGTTAAAAATTATTCTTAAAAAAAAATAATAATGCTAAAATTTCTTCTTTTACAATATGCATTTTTTGGTCAAGATCCTGATACTAGTTTAGTAATATTTTTTATAAATAATTTTAATTATAAACATAATGCATTAATGTATTGCTAGCCAAAATCAAAATAACTATTATGCATATTTCGTATACTCTAGGCATTCTGGCATTAGTTATATAATTTAAAAAATAATATATTTAAAAATTATAAAGTAACTATTATGACTATTATAAGAAAAATATTATATTCTCAAACTGATATTGAAATAATAGAATAATATAATTAATTAAGAACCTATTATTATCATATATACCTGCAATTACAAAAAGATTTTGAACTACTTTGAAGCTAATAACAATTTTGAGCAGTACTGTTTTAATTTAAACTTTCTTTTAGAATAATAACATTAATAATTATATAAAGCATAGTTTCAAATTATTAAAAGATATTATATTTTTATGTACTTAAGTATACAATATCATTTAGATGTTTAAGTTTATTATAACAAGTATGAAACACTATTATGAGCATCAATTACTTAGAATAGCATATTGTTATTCTGATCATATTAAAATCACTCAAAGGTTCTTATATCCTAGTTAAAAAAATTAATTCAACAGAAATTCAACAGACAAAAATAAATATAAAGTATTTAGTTTCAAGTTAAAAAAAATAAAACTGAGTTATTTTATATTGTTAATATGTAATTTAATACATGTATATGCTTAATTGGATTAACAAAAGCATTATATAAATATCAGGATGCAGTGACTACAATATATTACATAGAATTTCTAAACTTTTTTTTATCTTTATTACCTGATAATCATGCTTGTTTCATGTATATTGCATATAGTAAGTTAATCTAATTGTGTAGTTTTTTTTTTTAAAAAAAAAAATTAATATTTAAAAGTACAATCAAGAAATTTCAGTGAATAACTTTTTTTATATATTATTATATTCTTATAAGACTCATGAAAATGATAATTGACATGAAAATCAAAATACAAATCAAATTTCTTTTGCAATAAATATGAATATGAATCAAATTTTAGTAACAAAATAAATATAGATTAGATTGATTTTGAAAAATTTATTAAGCTTCATAGTAAGTATAATATATATTGAATAAATTTTTATCTTTAGATCTTGCTATTTGTTATATATAGGTAGTAATCTTATAACTATTACAAATGCAACAGCTGATGCAAATATAGCAGCTAATGCAAATACAACAGCCAATGCAAATACAACAACTAATGCAAATACAACAGCTAATATAAATACAATAACTAGTGCAAATACAACAGCTAATATAAGTATAACAGTTAATGCAAATATAATAGCTAATATAAGTACAATAGCCAATGCAAATACAATAGCCAATACAAGTACAATAGCTAATACAAGTATAGTAGCTAATGCAAATCTAATAGCTAATGCATATGTTTTTTTTTTTTAATATTTAAGTATATTTTACATTATATGCAATAATAACTAATATGAATAACTACCTAAATAAATCTTTATTTGATAAGTTATAATTCAAAATTCTTTAAATCACTTTTTAAAACAGTTAAAAATAATTATGACAATTGTGAACTACAACTTCAAGCAGCTCTTGAAAAGATAACCAAGAGATATAATATAGCAAAAGCTAAGTATATTTCAGCACTAATGTTCTTTCTTTATAATATTAATTATAATACAGATCTTCATGTATATATAAAAAATAAAGCTAAAATCTATGTATAGATCAAATTAAAGAAGCACAGAGAAACAGAATTGGGTATTAAAAAATATGATAACAAAGAAAATCAGAATTTTCATATTATACCAGCATGCAAAGTTAGAGCAATTAGTAAAAAGAAATATAGTTTTAGTTAAAATATTAACAAAAATAATTTGAACTAATAATATCTAGTATGTTCATATTTTATATATTAGAAAATAAATTTTTTGTAGTTTATTTTAGTTAAAAATAGTGTATAATAAAATTAATTTATTAATAAAAATGATTTTAGCAATTTAGTTAAATAATAAATAAGAATTAGATAATAAGAAACTTAAATTAATTAACTAAAAAATTTAAGATTTAGTAGCTTTATACTTTAATTTTGAACAATACAGAACTGCATTATATTCACAAGTTCTATTAAATTTTATATATTATTAATTATATTTAATTTAGTAACTACAAACCTGAAGTATTTGTTATTGCATTGTAGTATTAGTTACTATTCAAAATTAATAACTGTATAATTTTATAATTAACTTTAAATTTAAATATAATTTACTTTTAAACTTTAAATAATATTAAACTAATTAATTATAAATATATGCTTTTGATTCTTCTAATAGTGCTACTAATACACTTCTAATCTTTTAATTGTATATTGCTATGAGTATGGTGACTTAGTGAAGTGGATAAGTTGTCATACTCCTAAGTGATAAGTTGTGAGTTCAAAACCCACCGATGGTGAAATTTGGATAATCACCTATATAATATATAGTGTTATCCTATATCTACTTCTTTTAAGATAGTAGGTAACTAGAGCGACCTTAGACAGTGAACACTTTTTGTA